CTCTGGGTTGCATCTAGCTTGTCATAGGCTGAGAAATATCTGAGGGATAAAGACAGACCTACAAGGACCCATATGCCTGGGCCCTGGGTCTCAAGAAGGGAAAAGGGATAGGGGTCCCTTGGCTGGGGGAGATTGGGGTCGGATAGCTGCTGACAGACACCATTTTTTTCCAGATCTGATAAAACCCTCCAAGACATTGTCTACAAGTTGGTCCCTGGGCTTTTTAAAGGTATCCGCCACTCTCCTCCCTTCTGCCCCCACTGTCATTTCCTAGGCTGCTACCTTCTCCTCACCCTGCTTCCCTCTTCCAGATGAGATGAAACGGCGACGGGATTTCTATGCAGCTTACCCCCTGACAGAGGGTGAGTGTGTTCACGTGCGCGTGCTCAGAGGCCTGGGGCTGAGCGTGCGAGTGTAGGGCTGCCGCCAGCCACGGAGACTGCGTGTATTGTGCTGTCCACCCCCCGCGCCCCGCCCCCCCGCCCTCCAACTCCACCGTGCCTCCTTCCCAATCCAAATTGCCAGCACTGAGCGTTGCTGGGACCCCCCACCCCACCGAGCTGCATGAGCCCTGGATCCTTAGTGGGGTGCCCTTCCCCCATCCTAGGCCAGCTCCTCAGAGCTCTCTCTTTCTGCAGTCCCCAACGGCTCCAATGAGGACCGTGGTGAGGTCCTGGAGCAGGAGAAGGGGGCCCTGAGCGACGATGAGATTGTCAGCCTCTCCATCGAGTTCTACGAGGGCGTCAGGCAAGTCTGGCTCACACCTGGTCCTGCTGGGCTCCCAGAGTGGGTCACCCACCTCTCCCACCCTGGCCCCGCTCCCCTAGGAGGAAGGAGTGCCTTTGGGATGGCCCTCTGGGTGTGTGGATTAGGGGCATCCTGCCAGCTCCGGGGTATCCCTAGCTTCATTCTTTTTCCTTACAGGGATCGGGAGGAGAAAAAGGGCCCCCTGGAGAATGGGGATGGGGACAAGGAGAAGGTGAGTGCTGGGCCTGCTTAGGAGTGGTGCTTGGGCAGGAGAGAGTGGCCTGGAGTGAAAGCCCCCATGGGTGCCTCTCCCCCAGCAGACAGGGGTGCGCTTCCTGCGATGCCCAGCAGCCATGACAGTCATGCATCTCGCCAAGTTTCTCCGCAACAAGATGGATGTGCCCAGCAAGTACAAGGTGGGTCCCAGGCCTCCAGGCCCTTTCAAGAAGTAAGTGCCTGTGTGGAGTTCTGTCTGACTATCTGTGCACCCAGCTTCAGGGCTGGCTGGTGGCACCAAGGGCTTGCATGGATTACAGTTGAGCCCATGCAGAAAGGCAGTTAAAACCAAGATTAGGGTGGGACGGTCTGTATCTGCTGAAGTCAGTGTTCCAAGGTGCACAGAACCAAGGAGGGTGGTCTGTGTGTGCACGCATGCTCGTGCACTTGGAACTAATGGCAGGGTGTCCGTGCAAAACCACAGGGCCTTATCTGAGACCAGCTGGCTGTGGGACGGCTGATCTAACATTCCGAAGGAGCCCTAGGACAGTGCTTCTCAAACTTGAATGTGGACATGAGCTCTTGGAGAGTTTGTTAAAATGCAGGTTCTGATACTGAAGGCCTGGGGTGGGGCCTGAGAGTCTGCATTTCTAACAAGCTTCCAGATGATGTCTATTGACGCTGCTGGTCCACGGGCCACACTTTGAGTAGCAAAGCTCTAAGAGGACCGAAACCCATCCACTGCCATCGAATCAATTCTGACTCACAGTGACTATAGGACAGAGTAGAACTGCCCCATAAGGTTTTCAAGGCTGTAAACCTTCACGGAAGCAGACTGACACATCTTTCTCCTGCAGAGTGGCTAGTGGGTTCGAACTGTCGATCTTTTGGTTAGCAGCTAAGTGCCTGTGCAGCTAGGCTCCTTCTAAGACCATGGAACCCAAACTTTGCCACATATTAGAATCACCTGGGGAGCTTTAGGAGCCTTGGTGGCACAGTGGTTAAGAGCTCAGCTGCTAATCAAAGGTTGGCAGTTCGAATTCACCAGCTGCTCCTTGGAAACCCTATGGAGCAGTTCTCCTCGGTCCTATAGGGTTGCTATGAGTTGGAATCAACTCAGCGGCAATGGGTTTGGTTTTTGGTTTCAGGGGAGCTTTAAAACTCCCAATGTCCTGTCCTAATGCTATCCCAGTTAAGTCAGAATCTGCAGGGGTGAGAGCCAAGCATCGGTAGTTTTTAAATACCTCCTGAGTATGCTACTGTGATTCCACTGGGTGATTCCACCAGCAGCCAGGGGTGAGAATCTCTGCTCCAGGAGATCCTTCTCACCTGGGGCCTTTTTTTTTTTTTGCCCATTAGCTCCTCTGGGAGGCTGGCCAAACCACTGTGTGGATGGCTTGGGGTGGGTGTTAATGTGGATCCCTCATGGCTAGGAGTTATGTGGGGACAGCTCTGATAAGGAAGTGAAGTCCATAGTAAAAGTGAGAGTAATGAGGGAACCACATGCCAGTTCCCCCTCCCGCTTGCCCCCACCGACCCCCAAGACTCAACCTAGAGCCTCTTTACCAAATAGCCAGACCTCTGAGCCCAGCCAGGGTCATGGTATTATTCCCTTCCCTCTCCCAGGTGGAGGTTCTCTACGAGGACGAGCCGCTAAAGGAATACTACACCCTCATGGATATTGCCTACATCTACCCTTGGCGGCGGGTGAGCCAGGCTGGGTGGGGCCGTGCAGGATGGGGGCAGATGGGGAGGAGACCCCTGCAGGGTCTGGCATTGGTCTGTGGCCACAGTAACCACATGGGCCAGCCTGCTCTAACCACAGTCCTTCCCTTGCCCCATGAGCGGGGTGTGCCCAGGGTGGCCTGCTTCCCGACTGTCTCTCATAGTTCACCTCTCACACTCAGAAGGAGAAAAGGATGCTTTGGCATGTGTCCTGGTTTGGGGTCAGAAAACAGGGTTTTGTGGCTGTGGAGGAGTAAATGTCGCTTTTTGCTCTTCTGCCTTCCTCACTATAGCTCTTCTGTCTTTAACTTTTAAAAAGTTCAGGTCTTTTTCCTTCTGCCTTCCTCTCTTTTTCTCCCCAAGTGTCTGTCTTTGTAGTCTCGCATTCTGTTCTGTCTCTCTGGTCTCCTTTATCTGTCTCCTCCTCTGCCGAGTCGCTCCTCTCCAAGGCCCTGTACCTTTCCTTTATTTCTCGTTTGGGCAACTGTGGGCTGAAGCTGGGTGATGGCCTGGTTAACCTCTTCCTCCTGACACCGCTCCCCTGCCTCTCTCCCCACCTCCTCCCTGCAGAACGGCCCCCTCCCCCTCAAGTATCGTGTCCAGCCAGCCTGCAAGCGGCTCACCTTGCCCACGGCGCCCACCCCCTCGGAGGGCACCAACACCAGCGGGGCTTCCGAGTGTGAGTCAGTCAGCGACAAGGCTCCCAGCCCTGCCACCCTGCCGGCCACCTCCTCCTCCCTGCCCAGCCCAGCCACCCCCTCCCATGGCTCTCCCAGCTCCCACGGGCCCCCGGCCACCCACCCTACCTCCCCTACTCCCCCTTCGACAGCCAGTGGGGCCTCCACAGCTGCCAATGGGGGCACCTCGAACTGCTTGCAGACACAATCTTCAACCAGCAGGGGGCGCAAGATGACGGTCAATGGAGCTCCTGCGCCCCCCTTAACTTGAGGAGAAGGACCCTCTTTCCTTTTCCAGCCATGCCTCTCCACCCCTCCACTTTTTCTGGGCCCTTTTTGCCACCTCATCTACTTTTTCCCAGCTCCTCCCACCTTAGGGGTGGAGGGTGGGTTTTATAAATAAATCTATATATATATGTACATAGGAAAAACCAAATATACATACTTATTTTCTATGGACCAGCCAGATTAATTTAAATGCCACAGGAAACAAAATTTTATGTGTGTGTGTATGTGTGTGGGACGGGGTGCTCATTTTATAGGGGGTCTTGTGTATTTTGCTCTGCTCTGTTTTTTGGGGTGCCTGGAGGTGGACAGGAGGGGCCACTTGAGGCTCAGCAAAAGCCTGTCCCATCCTCCCTCTGTTCCCCAAGGTAGATGGGGTATTGGGGGGACCCCACCAGCCCCCAAAGCTTTAGGCACAACTCTAACTGGGTATGTATAGGGGTCTACCCCGTTTCTCTACCCATCTTGGCTGCTGTCCTGCCCCTGACCAGTATGCCCCTCCCCCCATTGTTGAATGTCCAGAGAATTGTTAAGACAGTGCCTTTTACAAATGCAGTTTATCCCCTGGTTCAGAGGAGTGGGTGCCCTGTGGAGGTGGCATTCCTTCACCTCCTCCTCTTGCAGTGGAAACTTTGTGCAAAGAATAGATAGTTCTGCCCTTTTTTTTGTTGTCGTCCCCCCACCCCCTGCCCCGGTGTGTGTGGCCTTTGCATCATTTATCTTGTGGAAGAGAAGATTCAGGCCACAGGAGGCCTCAGCCCTTGAAATTCCACTGTGGCTTTACATTGTGAACAGCTTCATCCCCTCCTGCCCTCCTACCTTCACCCAGGAACCATCTCCAGCAAGGCTGGTGGTGAGGTCTCACTTGGGAGCCTGCAGTGGCAGAGGGTGGGTAGGGGTTAACCTCAGACAAGCACAGACCCCAGGTTTTGCCAAAGGCAAACTCAGCCCTCCAGCCCGTCTTCCTCCTCACCGCCAGCTGAGGCAGAACCAGGACAGAGCGACAGGGGCATCTAAAAGCACAAGAAGACAGAGACCCGTTAACTCTGACTCACCTCCATCCCCTGAGGCGGCAGACCCCAGCGGACCCCTGCCCACCTGTTTTTCCTCAAATGTACATAGACTGGGAGGAGGTGAAGAGGGAAGACTCTAGATTCTACCACAACCTAGGTGTGTGGGGTTGGGAGCCCCCCAAGGGGTTTGTCTGTGTTTATACCTTGTCCTGTGTCTGAGGTCCTGTGACTGTGCCCTCCTGCCCTGGGACATTTGTATCTCTTGGCTTTGTAATAAATGCTGCATACTCTCCGAGACTGTAGTTCTTTGGGTAGAGGGGGTGGGGGAGGGATGAATGGGTCCCCTGACCTCCCCATCATGCCTTTTGTCTGGGCCCAGTCCTGTCTTGGGGACCCCATATGGAATGGATCAGAACTGCTGTCTCGCTGTGGCTGATCAGTTGCCCTTAGCCCACACACAGGTTAAATTTGGAGCCAGTGACCACAAGACCACCACTCTGGATGGGTATGCTTTTTTAATGCCATCTTCTCCACCAGCAGGTGCTGAACCCAGGGGCTTGTTCCTGGCTACCCCCAGATTAGAGACCCCAGGTTATGGGGTCTGGGTGTGGGTACCAGAGCCCCTGGATGATCCCCTCTTGGGCTTAGCACTCAGATTTCATCTTCACAGATGGAGTGCCTGTCAGAGACGCCTGGAACCAAGGCCCCCTGGGGCTGGGCAGCAGCCACCCCTTCAGAGCGGGGAGCCTACTTCTGCCTTCTGCACTCGCTCACTCTTGTGGGTGCCATCACAGTACGGGGGCCTCTGGGTGGCCTTGCAGGTACAGAGGACTGCTGTGCGGGTCTCCTGGGCCTTGAACTTGAGTGGGACTAGGCCAGTACGTTGGAAGAAGTGGGAGCCGTCACAGAAGGGCTGGTGGAGGAAAGAAGGAGTCAAGAGACCCGGCCCTATCTGCTCTGAGGGGGCGGGGCACAGTAGCTCAGGCTCTGGAGTCTAGAGTCAGATTATCTGGGTTCACTTTGACTGGCTGATTCAGCCCTCTCATCTGTAACATGGAGGTAATAAGTAGAGTTGTCAGAAGGAAATAGAATAAGTGATGGTCATTAAGCACTTGGCTCATGAAAGTGCTCAGGGAGTGAGTTTTTACAGCATTAGTCTCTGAGGGACGCACAGGGGAAGGACACAAGGACAGAATTTTTAAAATGAAATGCCTGCAATGTTTACACAGATAGGTGGTGGTGGTGGTGGTTTTGTTTTTTAATTGGCTCTGAGTCTCTATTGGTTGGTAAAATTCATTTCCTTCCCCATGTTCTTGGAGTAAAAACTTCTCTGGGCTGGAGGGAGCCCAAGTGCACGACAACACTTTGAGGCTGTGGTGTCAGTTTTGTCTGCCTCCAGGAAACACCTCGGCGTGTTGTGGGGAGTGGATGTCCCATAGCAAACGGGCTGCCTGGTGCAGGAGTAAGCTCCCCGTCCATCCCTGAAGCTGATCAAGCAGAGAACAGCTTGATGTGATAGAAACTGAGGCCAAAGGGGTGATGTGACTTGCTAGTTAGTGGCAGTGCTGGAGCCAAGACTTCTTGACTGCTAGTACAGGGTGGGGTAGGAGGAGAGGAAGCAGGAGAGATGAGAGAAGTGTGCAAATGGAAATCAGCACCCTGTCCACGATAGCACGAGGCACAGAGTACCTCCCTGTGCTGGGCCACACTCCTCTAGGCTGGTACCCTCGGCACTGTTCCACCCTCATGAGGACTCACTCAAAGTCCACAGCAAATCAGTGGCAAAGTGAGCACGCAGGAGTCAGGGCTGCTGATACCATGCCACACCACTTGGAAGCACACAGTTCAGAGCTCAGCTCAGGAAGGAAAGGGCCTTGGGAGGCAAAGAAAACGGGGAAAGTGTATGAGACCACTTCTATAAAAACTCATGAGAAGGTTCACACACAAAAAGAAACAATCTTCGATGGTTACGAAGGAGGGAAGGGGTGGGGATGGAAAAACACTAAATAGACAATAGGTAAGTGGTAACTTTGGTGAAGGGTAAGACAGTACACGATACTGGGGAAGCCAGCACAACTTGTACAAGGCAAGGTCATGGAAGCTCCACAGACACATCCAAACTCCCTGAGGGACTGAATTACTGGGGTGAGGGCTGTGGGGACCATGGTCTCAGTGGACATCTAGCTCAAGTGGCATAACATAATTTATAAAGAAAATGTTCTACATTCTACTTTGGTGAGTAGCATCTGGGGTCTTAAAAGCCTGTGAGTGGCCATCTAAGATACTCTACTGGTCTCACCCCTTTGGGAGCAAGGGAGAATGAAGAAAACTAAAGACACAAGGGAAAGATTAGTCCAAAGGACTAATGGACCACAACTAACACGGCCTCCACCAGACTGAGTCCAGTACAACTAGATGGTGCCCGGCTACCACCACTGACTGCTCTGACAGGGATCACAATAGAGGGTCCTGGATAGAGCTGGAGAAAAATGTAGAACAAAATTCTAACTCACAAAAAAAGATCAGACTTACTGGCCTGACAGGGACTGGAGAAACCCCAGGAGTATGGCCCCAGACACTCTTAGCTCAGTAATGAAGTCACTCCTGAGGTTCACCCTTCAGCCAAAGATTAGACAGGCCCATAAAACAAAACGAGACTAAAGGGGCACACCAGCCCAGGGGCAAGGACTAGAAGGCGGGAGGGGAGAGGAAAGCTGGTAATGGGGAACCCAAGGTCAAGAAGGGAGTGTTGACATGTGATGGGGTTGTTAACCAATGTTATAAAACAATATGCGTACTAACTGTTTAATGAGAAGCTAATTTGTTCTGTAAACCTTCATCTAAAGTACAATTTAAAAAAAAAAGAAAGAAAATGGGGAAGGTTCTTGCTGGGACAAAAGGCTCCTGAGACCCAGGCAGCCAGGCAGAAAAGATAGCAGGCTGCAGGAGATGACCAAAAGAGTCATATGAACTGAGAAACGGGAAGGGTTTTCTGGAAGAAGAGGACTGGGAAGGGATGGGGGGAAAGCTGGGAGGCTTTGGGGACCAGGAGAGCCTGGGCAGAATCTTCCCAATGTTGAGGTCTGAGGCCTTTGGCCCAGATGCTTCCTGGAAGGAGGAAGGAGAGAGGGAAAGAGGCAGGTTAGCCTCAATGCCTTAGAGGTGCAAAGCAGGCACACCAGATGAATCGAGCCTGGGCTCTAACAGTCTGGCTGTGTGACTAGTGTCAGCCTCTCTGGCCTCATTTCAAAGGGTTGACACAGAGAATATGTGAGGTCAAGGTCACAGGTGGCGCTGGCCTGAGAATATTCTTTCATCTCTGTCATGGACTGAATTGTGTCCCCCAAATATGTGTGTCAACTTGGCTAGGCCATGATTCTCAGTATTGTGTGATTGTCCACCATTGTGTCATCTGATGTGATTTTCCTATGTGTTGTAAATCCTACCTCTATGATGTTAATGAGGCTGGATTAGAGGCAGTTATGGTAATGAGGCAAGACTCAATCTACAAGATTAGGTTATATCTCTTACTTCTTTTGAGATATAAGAGACGCAAGTAGAGAGATGGGGGGACCTCCTACCACCAAGAATGAAGAACCAGGAGGGGAGCACATCCTTTGGACCTGGGGTCCCTGTGCTGAGAAGCTCCTAGACCAGGGGAAGATTGATGACAAGGACCTTCCCCCCCAGCCAACAGAGAGAGAAAGCCTCCCCTGGAGCTGGACTTGTAGCCTACTACACTCTGAGAGAATAAACTTCTCTTTGTTAAAGCCATCCACTTGTGCTATTTCTGTTACAGGTGCACCAGATAACTAACACAATCTCCACTCTCACCTTTTGGTCTCACATGTATATGTGAGAAAAAGAGGAATCTCTTGGGCAGGAGATCTCAGGAAACAACCATGCTGTCCCCAACTAGGGGATGTCATATGTCAATAGTAGGGGTCCGAGCCTCTCACCTGCTTCTTGCTGCGACCACACACACACCACCTGTACATGGTCCCAGCCACCAACTCCACCTTGATGGGCGTTTTCTGGGCCACTACGGCCTTGGCTGGGGCTTTGGAGAACCACTGAGTCTGTGGAAAGGGAAGATGAGGGCTCAGGGTCAGACCAAGCCTTGGGAGCCTTTTCTTGCCTTGTCTTGTCCAGTCACCCACTGGCCCTAGCCTGGGTCAGGTCTCCTCCTCTAGAGGCTAATCTAATGCCACACTGCAGGGACAGTCCTCCAGGGCACCATACGGACCTGAACTGCAGATGGGGAAGAGATTTTAAGTTCCTGCAGGCACTCAGGCTTTACGGCTCCAGCTGCCTTCCCTTCAAACCCTGGCTCCTCCCAGGGTGCTAGGGCGAGTAGGGCTGGGACCTCCCAGGGTGCTAGGGCAGGTAGGGCTGGGATCCCGTCAGTCCTAAGGCAGGGCCAACCCCACCTGGAGCTTGGTTCATCAAGCACAGCTGTTTTCAGCCCAGAGACTTGGCTCCGTGCCCTGTGCCCTCTGGTCCACTCCACCTTCTAGAGCCACGGTGGTTATGGGAGGTGGCCATGGGCAGGCCCAGCGGGCTAGAGTGTTGGCAGCAGGGCTGTACCCTCCCTCAGTCCCATTCCCAGGTCTCTGGGCCTGGGGACTTGAGCGAGGAGGAGTGAAGGCTGGAGGTACTTACCAGCCAGGAGAAGAAGTCCCGCCTCTGGTTCAGCTTTTGACAGGCACGCAGGCATCACGAGACGAAGACAGTGGTTTGTAAAGAGAAAAATGATATCAGTGGAAAGGGAGGACGCGGGAAACTGGGAGGGAAGGGATGCCGGGGGTAGGAAGGGTGGGGGGAGGTAAGAGGGTAAGGAAAAGGGGTAACGAGCGGAAGGAGACTTGGTGAGGAGGCCCTGGCACGCAATAGGCGCATGGGAAGCGGCTGCTTATGGAACACGCAGAGGAGAGGGCTGCAAAGCACAAGGAGGCGCGGGGCTGGAGGGACGCTCAGCAGAGGGGCAGGCGGCGGGGGCGCTGGGTAAGGAGAGGAGGGCCCAGGGGCCGACCGCGTCCAGGGAACGGTGCTTACCCCTGCTCCACAAGCTGCCCGCTGCAGAGTCGCCCACATACTGCTCATGTGCGCGCTCCGCACAGCCCCGCGCCAGGTCACCTTCCCCCTTCCCTCTGCCTCCGGCCGCCCCGGCCCCGCCTCGGCCCGGAAGACACCGCCCCGCTCTGCGGGCCTCGGGTCGGGCCCAGCCCCAGCCGCCGGAAACCGAGCCGCGGCACCTAACCCCAGCAGCCTCCCCGCGGTTCCGGGTGTGTGTGGAAGGGGACTCGCCTGGCGCCCCCTCTGGTCCCAGAGTGTCTGCGGAACGGCTGGCGCAGAGCATCGTCGTGTGCGTATGTGTCTAAAAGTGCAGTCCGGGTACATTCCATCATCTGGGAAGCTTGTTGAAAACAGATTCCCAGATGGCCCAGATCAACACATTATACTCTTGTGGGTGGGGCTCAGGTATCTGCGTTTTCAATATGTAAATCAAGTATTTTTGTACACTCTGATTTGAAAGAAAGGTCATAGACCAAACCCCTACCCATCTCCTCAGCAGGCTCCCACGGTTGGCACCCCACTCCTTCTCCCCCCGCCCTTCAATAAAGCTGTACAAAGCAGACAGGGTCTCTGGATTTTTTTTTTTTTGTAAAACATTCTTTTATTAAAAGAACAAGTGCTGTTTACGATTTGCCCTTCGTACAAATAACATCCGTTATACAAAGATACAAGATCTGGGTTATGCACAATTCCAGGCTTGGAGGTGGCAGGGGAAGCCATTGCCTTTTGGGCTGAGGATTTAAAGGAGGTTTTAGAAGTAATGAAAAAGGAGCCCCTGGGTTTGCAATCCCTGGCTTTCCCTTCCTGCTCCTCTAGGAAGGGGCTGCTACATCTAAACAGGCTGGGGTGGTAAGGGAGGAGGATGGGATGAAAGCCTGGGTTTGGGCCTCCAGTCTCACCACCCAAGACCCAAGTTGGACTGGAGGAAAGGAGGAAGTGAACAACTGGGGATGAGGGGCCCATCCAGTCCACGACTTTTCAGTAGATCAAGATAAAAGTGGTTGGGAGCTAGACACACTTTTAATCTGAATGGCTGTGGCTGGAGGGAGCCAGGGCTACTGTTCCCCACTTTCCTCCACATTCCCAATGGAAGTTACTTCAATCTCTTCAGGCACCATTTCCCAGGAAAAGAGTTTGGGATGAAGGAGAATTGGGAGCAAGCTCCTTCCTTACCCTTAACTCGGCCCTCCCTGCTCACACACACCCCGAAAAATATGCTGGAAGCTGGGGGAGAGGAGCGCTGGACCTTTGAAAACTTGACTATATTTCCAGTTTGGGGAAGATGTTACGCTTTCTCAGAGCTGTCTTTGCTCTGGCTCCCCTCTCATCTAGGCCCTTCCTGCATCCTACCAGAGTTGAAGGCGAGCATGTCCTTAGAACTCAGTCAGGAATGGGCAGGGAAGGACGCCTTGGGGTGCCCATCAGCCTCAAGGTAAGGCCACCTGGAGGCAGCAGTAGACCCAGGAGCCTGAAGAAAAAACCCATAAATGGGAAAAAATAATGATACAGTTTAAAAAAAAAAAAAAAGGCAACCTTTAAAGTGTCATTGTCTGTGGAGAGGATCCGTCAGCTCTGAGCTAAGACAGTGCTACATAGACACTCTCCCATCCTGGGCACAGCCCTGCACTCACACCACACATCATACACTCAGGAACAGACAGCCATTGGGAAATGGCGAGGAGGGGTGGGAGAGCTAAGGACCAGGAGGCCAGGGTCCTGAGGGCTGGTCCTGACTCTGCCACTGAGCCCCTTCCTCTCCAGGGCTTGGAGCTGTCACCTGTGAAGTGAGGATCTGGCTCAAACAACCCCTAGACAAGTCCCTTCCAGCTCTGACATTCACACACAGTTATGACCCCAAGGCCAGACACTCAAATCTGCACACGTCCCACTCATGTCTTTGTGCTGAGCGAGATAATGTGGCAGCTCTGGGCACTCATGCATTTTCAAATTCTGCTTCTGGTCTCCCTGCAAACCACATCCTCCCTTCCTTCAGACAGATTGAAGATGTACAAATCTACAAGTCTCCCACTGCCATCCAATTCATTCTCAAAAAAGGGGCTAAGGCTGGGAGAGGAGGGTGAGGTCATTATAGCCATCCCCCCGATATTAGTATCCTGCTCCCTCCTAAAGATGGCCAAACCCTCCAAAGTAGGAAATCCTTGCTTCCTTCATGCTCTCCACAATGGGGGGAGGGACAATCCATATACAGCCTGGGTCCCTTCCTCAAATCCAACCTGTCACTGCCTGCTGGCCTGGGGAATGAACGTGAAGGGCTTGGGAAAGCTGGAGAACTTAGACTGAATGATGGGACCCCGAGACTCTGCAGTTAGGGGAGGGCAGAAGCGTGCTTGGGGGAGAGGGGCTCCAGTGCACTAAATCTTGTGGACTTCTCACTCTCAACCACGGCAGCCTTGGGGTGGACTCCCTTCCCTTCTTTCCTTACTATCTAGAACAGAAGACTTCAGCTCTAAGTGGGCAGGCCTTGGGCCTTGGGCCTTGGGCCTTAGGCATGGGTATGAATGAGTAACTCTTCCAAGAATCTCTGGAGGTTGTTTTTTTTCTCCCACTGGTTTGGGTACAGAGAGTTAAAAGAGTTTAGTAAGATTAAGATGCATAAGATGTTGAATGCTATCATTTCTTTCTAACTGGTATTTAGCATTTAAAAAAAGGTATTTCTGAGGTCCTCACAACTGCCCCCCCACCCCCAAGCCCCTGCCAAGTGCCTAAGAAATTGCCTCTGAAGGATTCCCACCCCACCCCCTCCATTATCCACTCCCTAACATATTACAAAGTCTTATCAACATGAATATTAATATTATTTTCAGTATCAGAAAAAAACCAGTTGAGCAGCACAGGCAAAAATATATCTGCACTACGTTTCTGTCGTTGCCAAAAATATACACATCTTCTTTTCTTTATTTAAAAAAAAAAAAAACCAACAACAACAAAAACCCAAACAGAAACACACACAAAGAAAATCCACACATGCAAAGAGACTGACAAGAGCACCAGGGAAGGCAGAAGTGCCTCCCCCGCTCTAACCCCAGTGCAACCGAAACACATACACAGGCTCCAACCTGTCCTCTCCTGCCTGTCCCACCAGCCCACCCCTTTGGTGGTCCTGGGCAGGTGCGGGCTCTTTAAGGTGAGAAATGCCCACTACACTCCAGGGGAAATAGCTGGTGGGTGAGGGAAGAGTTGTTAGGTCAGCTGAAGGTCTCCCCTGGCTGGTGGGGTGGGGATGGGGTACAGGAAGGCAGGCTGGCTGATTCTGGGAGAGGCTTTTGCTACAGGAAGGGGCACTTTACACTCCCGGGCCCCTCCCCCAATACTAGGGGCTCCCCTGTGCCAGGGAAGCAGGACCAAACTCTAAGTGGGGGAGGAGGGCCCTGAGGGAGCACTGAGACCATGTGGGGTCTGGGGGAGGGAAGGTGGGATATTACCCTGATTCAAAGCCCCCAGCCCCAGTTACTCTCCAATATTGGAGTACTGTTCTGGTTTTTGTTAACCATTCATGCCCCAGAATGGGACCAAAGTTGGTGAGGTGGGGAGGGTGCAAACAAGAGCTGAGAACTCCCCGCTCTGGTGCTGCCTCATCTGCCCATTGCTCCTATGCCTGCCCTCAACTGGCACAGGTCCGGGGGAGACACACGCGCACACACACAAGCACGCTCTGTGAGTCACAGCTCCATCTCCCCACCCTCAGCACTCCTAAATCCAATAGTGCAAACAAGGGACAGGGGCACTAAGGACAGCAGGGGCTTCTCCCCACATGCTCTCCCCTGACTCATCATCAGTGGGGCCCCAAGAGGTGGGGAGGTTTGGGCTGAGTTTGATGATATCCTGCTACTTCCTCAGCCCCCTACATCTCTAGGCTTTTACAAGCTCAGCTTGTGACCCTTGTTGGGGGGATAGGGGTGGCAAGAAACAGTCCAAGGGATCCCTCCTTTTGCCATCTGCAGAAAAAACGGCAGGAAAAGTCGGGCCACCCCTTCTTCCATAAAGAACTTCCACGCTGCGGCAGGGACTGCCCAGGGCCTATATCCCTCCACTTCTCCCCACTCAAGTGCTGATCCATTTTATGTGGAGGGATTAACCAATCCCCCACTTATGCCACGGTCCACCTTGCTCTCAGGGGGACCCCAAAACATTTGTTGAGGGTGGGGGCTTCTAGGCAGGCTTCGAGCCTGCCCTCCCTCCGTGCCCCTCACAAAGGGGCCAGTGCAGAGGAGGAGGGGACCAGGTGGGCAAGGGGCTCCCCTCTCACTCTCAGTCCTCAGCACCAGGAGCGGCCACTGCTTCTTGGGCTCCCCCCGCCACCCAGCACATGCTTTGGGCCAGGGCTCTCCAGTGTCTGGGCACAGGCGCCTGCTCCAGGCTAGGATCCCTCAGGTCAGGATTGCCCCCTCCACTCGGGGGCTCAGGAAGGGTGTGGGTGGATTTAGCCTTTTTCCTGGTTAGCTGAGGCTCCTTTGTCAGCGGTCTGGAAAGAGAGGAAGGCAAGCTGGGGTTTGGGGAGGTGTCTGGCCCTGACACCCCAGTTGGGAACAGCTTCCTGGGCCAAGAAAGCTGCAGTAGGGTGCAGAAATGGAGCCCAGCTGAAACTCTGGCCTGGGCTCTGGCAGGTGCACACCAGGGTCAATGTGTGGGAGTGGGGAGGTTGCTCTGTACAGAGCACCTAGCTGAGTGGGCATGCGCCAGACAAGGCCAGTGCCCAGGCCCAGGCTGTGTGCCCTCAGAGGACAGAGAGCCTTTCTCTCATTGGTCCACAAGAGGGTCTTTTTCAAACTGATCTGCTTAGATAGGCAACAGCCTTTTCTAATTGGTGTTCCCAGAGAAATGCCATTTTCTAATTGGTGATTTTACTACTTGCCTATGCTCAGAGTGTATCTTTCTTGGATCTGCATGAGGGCAGCCAAGTGCTAGGAGAGGCATGTGCTTCAGAGGGTCTAGACAGGGCACTTCGCTGACCTAGGGGTTGCTTCTGATCCTTCTTCTGATGATGCACCTGAAGCCATCTCTGCTCGAGACCTGTCTTCCCAGGGAGACAGGAAGGTCCTAGACCCTATACTCAC